CTAAAGCTGCTAATGTTAGCCAGGCTACCTATATTAAGGTAAAGCTTTATAAAATTTTTAGTTTTGGAAATTTGTTTCTATGTCTGATATGACCTTTTTGTTTTACAGCCATCTGTGAGAAAGACACACTGCAGTGGTAGGAAACACAAAGAAAATGTGAAAGACTACTATCAGAAATGGATGGAAGAACAGGCCCAGAGCCTGATAGACAAAACAAGTATGTTTCAAGCCTCTTGTTCTGATGTGTTAAAATGGTCCCATTCTTTGTTGTCCCTGTCTTTCTGTTGTTTTTCACAGAAGCAACTCAGTCTGAATGATAAATAGGAGAATTTAGACATGCTGAATGAAAGAAGTGGAAGGTCACTGGTTTCCCAGGGATATAAGAACACATTAATTAATATTAATTACTGAGGATAGCGTAGTCAGGGATAGAGCAATCAGGTATTGGTTAGACTGGGAGGTGAGGCAGAGAAGAATGGAGTTGCCTAATGTTTGTCTATTGACGTGGACCAGATTTATATAGCAAATTTATATAAAACCTCCTTTGTAGTGATCCATAGTTTTTAGAAGTGTTTTCCTGTCATAATAGGAGAAGGTAGGGGGTAGGTTTATGATTCTCTCCAAGTAGTTTGAGAGGCTTTATTTAGGTTTCTTAGTTGTAGTCTTGACAAAGAGAACTAGTCAAAAAGAAACTAAGTGATATATAATAACAAAATAGTCTGAGTATGTTTTGGACCCCTGTTGTACCTCATAGTCATTTTGTTAATTAGGTACATTTTATTGTTCTGGTTTGTTGAGTCTAAGGCACTGACAGAAGGAGATGTTGCATTTTTACTTTAGATCATCCTGGCGCATTTGAATCACGGCCTTTTTTAATCATTCATTATACTCAGCTGGCAGGCAAATGTGGACTTTGTGATGTGATTTTTTTAAAAAAGCGAAACCATTGTGATAACTTTCAAATAAAGGAAAAAGACAAGTTTAATGAAAGACAGTCCCATTCTGCACACCCCTCCCCCAATTTCTAATCACTCAGCTGCATCACTCCTGTTTCGTTTATACGAAGGTTCTCTTGGACATTTAGTTTATGCCAAGGTACTGTGGACATTTAGTACAATTCTTTGTTTTGGGGGTTTATCTGTGCTTTGTAGGATGTTTAGCAGGATCCCTGGCATCTACCCACTAGATGCTACTACCAACCCTCAGTTGTGACTATTATAAATGTCTCCAGGTATTGCCCAGTTTTCCCAGGGGGGCAAAATTGTTTCTGGCTGACAGCCACTGAATATCTTCATTTACTCCCTTTCTCCCTCCTGGATTATTATGGAACAAACCTCAGACATTTTCCCATTTCATGTGAAAAAATAAATTATGCTGTAATCTTTTTTTTCCTCCTATTTGAAAAGATGTTAGAAATTTCTTGGCAT